CTTAATTTATGAGAACAATTTGTGCATTATTTTGCTCCTACAAGCAAATGAAGTTCACAACGAAATAAGAAATGATTAATACATCGAATAAAGCTTTAGGAAGTGACAAAAACCAGACCGTGCGGACATCGAAAATTAATGTTGGAAGGGGATTCGCATAACAAAGAAATACATTAAATTTGGGTATATTTCTGATAATAATAAATCAGACTAATGCGCAAAGAACGAATTTTAGTTTACGAACATTGCTAAACAGCGGCTGCGCCGGAGATAATTTCAGTCAGCTCTTTGGTGATCGCAGCTTGGCGAGTGCGGTTAAAGGCCAACGTTAGCTTTTGCGTCATCTCATCCGCGTTTTTAGTCGCAGAATCCATTGCCGTCATTCGAGCTGATTGCTCACTGCACGAAGCTTCCTTTAAGGCATAATAAATGAAGGAAGTGAGCAAGAACTCATTGTAGCATCTGAGTGCTTCTTCGTCAATCTCATCATATATGCTTAATTTTTGAGAACGTGAAATAGTATCGATTCCGTATAGTGGTTGTGCCGTAGTTGAATAGGATACGACAGACCTAAAACGAAAGGTTAAATATGGATCCTACTTGAACACATTAAAATAGAGAGAAGCTTTATCAAATTTAAAGTCACTCGACATTATAGATTGAGCAATAAATGAGGCATCTTCGAAGGTTGGTGGTTTCCGACCGACCTCACTAAAAGTAAAAAGGACATTTGCACCGTATTGACGGACCAACATGCCCCGCGATTTATCTCCTATTAGAACTAATCGAGTGGTTTCTACCTCTGGAGTAGCTCGAACACACTCACGGATAGCCTAGGATTAAAAAAAATAAGGCTAACGCAATACCTTAACAACGCTACTATGGGCAGCCCCACAGAGACCTCTATCTGAGGTGACGGCTATGATGAGATGGCCAGACAGCGGCTTGTCTGCTTCACCTATCTCAGCGCATTGGTAGAATGCTATACATATTTGGCCGAATTCACGAACCTTTAGCTCCATTTCCGTAGGCCTTAGCTGGTCTTAGATCGCGCTCAGCCTTCGCAAATTTTGCAGCTGATACCATTTTCATGGAAGCCGTTATTTTTTGAATGTTCTTAATCGACTTTAAACGGACAGAAATGTCTTTGAGGGTAGCCATACGGCACACTGGTTGACTAAAAGATTAAATTCATAATTAACTTACGAAAAGACTGGAATAAAATTAGGCAGAAACATTCTGAAGCAGCTAGTATAGAAAATAGCCGCAGGGAAACTGGAAGTCTTTAAAGAGCGTGTATGTTTTACAAAGAATTACAACAAGGAACTGCTTTTAAGTTTGTTTTAAAGATTTTATACTAAGTATAACATTACTTTTAATTTTTAATTAGATTTTAGATTTATAAAACAAACGATATGGTAAGAATTTGTTTTTAAGTGGGTTTGCAAACGCAAATCAACTAAAGTTTCCATTTCTACTCACAACCTAAAATTGGATGAACACTTATACTAAATTGTGCTTTACATAACTATTAATTTACTTTACTCTGAATATGCTATTAAGTTTTTAAAATGAACGTGTTTATAATAGATATATTCTATCGAAAAT